CTCTCTCTCTCTCTCTCTCTCTCTCTCTCTCTCTCCCCCTCCCTCTCTCTCCCTCCCTCTCTCTTTCTCTCCCTGGTAAAGTTTTTGTTAAATCCACAGAATTTTTAAAAAGTTAATAACTTTGGATCTATTTCCTCGTTTCAAAGTAGAAAACACAATTACCCTAGTCAGTTGTGAAGACTAAAGGACCGTACAGAATGCCCACTCGACGACAAACCCTACACAAATGTTATCAACTATGTCAGTTCTTACCACCTAGTTTTTCAGAGCAACAGCATCTTTTCACTGTCCAAGAATCATTGATTCTCACTAGACCCCCTTCACAGGAAGGGGACGGACTGTGATATGATTTCTCCCTTCAGGTCTTGTTTTTTTGAAACACAGTCTGGCCTATGTAGCTCAGGCTGGCCTTGAACTTGTGATCCTATGTAGCTCAGGCTGGCCTTGAACTTGTGATCCTCCTGCTTCTGCCAACCAAGTAGCTGAATTCACAGGTGTGTTGCCATCACGCCAGCTGTTTTTAACTTTTTTCTTCGTGTATCAGGTCTAAAGGTTCACAGGTCATGCTCCCATGATCCTCACTGGTAGGTCATATCGGGGGAGTCTTAGAGTCTAAGAAGGAGGGTATGTAGAAACCCTCCAACAAGAACACAGCAAGCTAGGGGGCTCACAACGAGAATCTCAGCATTTGGGAAGCTAAGGCACGTAGATTGCCCCAAATTCAAGACCAACCTCAGCTGCATAGTGAGTTCCAAGCAAGCTTGGTCTACAGTGTGAACCCTGTCTCAAAACACACACAGACACACACAGACACACACAGGCACACACACACACACACACACACACACACACACACACACACACAGAGTAGAAACTGGGTATATTGACTGATACCTGTAATCCCAGCACTCAAGAGGCTGAAGCAGGTCTGTCATAGGTTTGAAGCCAATCAGGCTAACAGAAAAACTTTGTCTCAAACAAACAGAAGAACACAACAATTTAGAGATTTTATTTATTTATTGGTCTTTTATTTTGTCTTTTTGAGACAGGGTCTCATTGTAGCCCCAGCTGTCCTGGAACTATGTAGACCAGGGTGGCCTTGAAGTCACGGAGATCCACCAGCCTCTGCCTCCCAAGTGCTGGGATTAAAGGCGTGTGCCACCACACCCAGCCGAGATTTTATTATTTTATATATGTGTATATGTCTGTGTGAATGTATGCCATGTGTGTACAGGTGCCCATGGAGGCCAGAAGACAGACAGCATTAGCTCCCCTGAAGCTAGAGTTACAGGTGGTTATAAGCTGCCTGACATGAGTGCTGGGAACCAAACTCAGGTTCTCTGGAACAGCAACAAGTGCTCTTAACCATTTATCCATCTCTCTAGTCCCAGAACTTAGCACTTTCAAGGAAAGAAACAGCAATACCTTAGAGAAGACAGAGGATAGGCTGTAAATCCAGAGTCAGGTGAAAATCGCCATTTAGAACTGAGGGCTGGTGGGCAAGTTCTAACTCTGCTGGGAAAGAATCTGGGTCACTGTCTCACCTCTACCCCACCCATCCACCCATGCTCAGGTGGGAGAACTGGAGGGAAGTTTCTTTCACCTTAGCCTGGACGGAGACCATTCTTTGCCTGCTTTCTCTACTCTAACCGCCCCAATGGAGGGTGAGTAACAAGGCACTGAGTCACACAATGACACCATCACCTCATATGGGGTGCAAATACAGCCAAAGTTGTCTTACACGTTCCTTTGCTTCCATCACTGTCTTTCTCTCAGCAAGAGGCTGTTTGATGGACTACGGAAGAGCTGAAGTAGAAGCCCAGCATACAGAAAGGATAAGTAGGTGCAACTGGGACAAACAGAAACAGGAGCCCACCCGAGGAGAAGGAGACAAGGCCTGTGGGGATAACGGTTGGAGGCATCCAAACCAGTCATGAGGTCAGGTTCACGGCCTCAGAATGACTAACAAAAATGATTCCCTATACCTCTCAAGATGCATTAGCAGGCAAATCAATAACTATGGGGGACTGGGTCATAGCCAGCAGCTCCTGCCTAAAAATAGTGCATCGTTCTCCCTTTCCCTTCCCACAGGTCCAGAGAACTAACTAGGATAGGCCTGGGAAGGAGTGGTGGTGGCAGAGAAGGGCAGTAAGTGCGACTGCTGACCAAGAACCAGGAGCTACCCAGAGCCCAAGTGGCCATCTATGTCACAAGAGCCTCCAGAGCTTGCTTTAGTACAGTGCTCCACTGTGGGAAGCAACCCCAGCATCACCACAAAGTCATCACCCCACCTAGAAGTCTGAGAACTGACAAATTAAAACCTAACAGCAATTATCCATATTTTTAGCATGATAAAGTCTTAACATTCTGTTGCCATAGAGATCAGTAAAGAATGGAGGATCCCCACAGAGCCCTGCCCCTGAATTCAGGTCCTCTCCTTTAGGGTGGCTCCTAGTTTTGGAGCCAGGCTCTTTCCTACCCCTTGTGATACAAAAACAGGCGGGGAAGGTACCCCTCTCGTTAGCAGACCTAGTCCTGGAATACTCAGCTCTCTGGAATTTCATGGTCCCAACTCTGTTCTCCCAAGAAGAGCTATTTGACGCCAGGCAAGGGAGCATGTGCCTTTAATCCCAGACCTCAGGAGGCAGAGGTAGGCAGATCTCTGTGAGATTGAGGTCAACCTGATCCACATAGTGACTTCCACACAGGCTAGGACTAGAGAGACCCTGTCAAAAACAAAAAACAAACAAAAAAAAACAAGCGGAACTATTTGAAAAGCAAGGGTTAATCAGTTCCGATTAAGATGGGCATGATGGTGCATACATTTAAACCCAGCACTTGGAAGGCAGAGGCAGGTTGATCTCTGTGAGTTCCAGCCAGCCTGGTCTATCTAGCAAGTTCTAGGCCAGCCAGGGTTACAGGGAGACTGTTTCAAAGAGAGACAGAGAGAGATAGGAGAGAGAGAGACACACACACACACACACAGAGACAGAGACACAGAGAGACAGAGAGACAAGAGACAGAGAGAGACAGCAAGAGAGAGAAAGAGAAATAGTTGTAGACATCAAATGAGGGAACTCCTAATATACAAAGCCCAAGCCTCTTTGGATTTTGAACTGGATATCTACTACAGAGGGTCAAAGGCAGGACACAAAGTTCACCAGGATGAGGAATGTGAGCAAGGCTCTCAGGTACTTCTAAGCGCCTCAAGACCACAGAATGCCAGATCACAATGCTGTCACACTGCCCTCTGGTGGAAAGACAAGATCTGTCCTTATGCACAGAGGAAGAGAAGTGGGCAGGTAGGTATGGAGAGTTAAGATAATGGAGGAAAACCAGGTGGCTGAGAACATAGACACAGATGGGACACTCCAGGTGGGTGTGAAACAGGTGACTGTTTTCCTTCCTAAAGGCTAAATATAACAAAGAAACTGCAGTGACATTGCAAGTGTTTTATATCCCTAAACCATCAAGGTTTTGGCTCAGAAGTTAACAGTAGCTAGACATTCCAACTAAGATCATACACACATCAACAGCAGCTATCACAGGAGGGAGATTGCCTTTTGCATAAATGTATGTATGTATATATGTAATGTATGTATGTATACAGACATGGTATAAAATCTAGAAGGGCTTGAATGCCCATTTAGGAGGGAGGGATAGTTTTAACTGCTAGGGTTGGGGCCACAGTACAAGCACACATGGTGGGCAGTGGCAGCCCCCTCAAACCTCCCACTCTGGGTCAAAAAAAGGACCTCTGAAGGACAAGTATACTCGAGAAGATAGAAGGCATCTCACCTTTTATTAAACCATCAAAGTCACAGAGGCATTCCAGTTGCCTGAAAGGTCAGACAACTCCCAAACCTCCCATCAAGATGCTGAGTCTATAAGAATTTTGACCTCAAGCTGTACCAGGCTGAGGCCGAAGGCAGGCTTCACAACACACAGTCCATGGTGTCTTCCTGTAGCAGAAAGCTTCAAGGGGTGTCCTCCACATTTCAATGCTGTCAAAATTTGGAGGTCCTACAGGTTTTCTGGACAGCAAGATACAGGTATAGCAAAATGAAAGGTTAGTTTCCTTAGGTTTATTTAGCTTACATACCCTGGGTCACAGTTCATCAGGGAGCCCAAGGTAGGAACTCAGGGCAGGAACCTGGAGGCAGGAGCTGGAGCACAGGCCATGGAGGAACACTGCTTCCTGGCTTGCTCCCCTGGCCCCAGCTCAGCCTGCTTTCTTATGCAACACAGGCCCATCTGCCCAGGGGTGGCACCATCCACAGTGAGCTGGGCCCTCCCACATCACTCAACAATCAAGAAGATGCCCCATGGACATGACCACAGGCCAGTCCAATGAGGGAAATTCCGCAATTGAGGCTCCCTCAACCCAGGTGTGTTGACACTAAAGCTATCCAGCACAAAGACTGAAATGACCTGAGACTCACATGGTCTGAGTGGTAAAGAAATTGGAGAGCTGGAAGCACCAGGAAGCAATAGCCTGAGAGGCAAGGTTCAGAGCTGGACTCAATGCTAAAACAGGGAAAGGCAGAGTGATGGAGTGAGCACAGAGCAGCAGGGGTTTTTTTTTGTTTTTTTTTTTGTTTTTTTTTTTTTTTGTCTTTTTGAGACAAGGTTTCCCTATAGCACCAGCTGGCCTGGAACTCACTATATAAATGAGGGTAGCCTTGATCTCACAGTTCACAGAGATCTGCCTGCCAGAGCATTCTTTTTCCCCCAGGCTTAACCCTTCTCTCCCCTTCCCAAGTCTAGTAAGTCTGCCAGTTAGAGCTGCTGGGTTCAGGGTCCCCAAGGGAACTGCTCCATTTTAGTGCAAGGCAGCAGCCCGGGCAGCAATAGCAGCAGCCACAGCTGTGATTAGCAGCTGGATTCCAGAGCCTATGAGGTGAAGAAACTAGGGATTAAGTCCCAGTCCTCAGTCTATAGTTCACCTCCATGTTCTTCACCCAGCAGAGATGCTCTGCCTTCTACCAGTTTTAGCCAGGAGCTGCAAACACCCACCTGCAGATACTACATCCAGCTCCTGGTCCCCATCAGGAAAAGTGATGTCCGTACCAGCACATCACACAGTCACACAGCCAACTCTCATAGATCAACCAACAAGTTCAAAGCCATTCAACTGTCACCAGGTACACTTGGAGTCAGAGAAACCCAGGCTGTGTCAGTCACCTGGCTTACAGATTCTGAATGCACCACTTAACATTCTCCAATTCTGCTATGCCCAGCAGAGTTGTATGGTGCATGCTCACTACGAAAACAAACTTTTCCCTCCCAGCAAATGTGATCACAGATCCCCATTGCTCCAAAATGACTTTCTGAAAAGGTTTCCCTGAAGCCTCAGCTGGCCTGGAACTTGCTATGTAGACCAACCAGGCTGGCCTCGAACTCACAGAGATTCGACTGCCTCTACCTCCTGAGTGCTGAAATCAAAGGCATGCACTTACCACACCAAGCTTGAAAAGGACCTTTTTAATACTTTTTTTAAATTTTGTGTGTATGAGTGTTTAGCCTTCATGTAAGTGCATCTGTGTCTTGCAATGCCTGTGGAGGTCAGAAGAGGGCGCCAGATAGCCTGGAACTGGAGTTACAGATGGTTGTTAGTCACCATGTAGGTGCTGGGAAGCGAACCTAGGTCCTCTGGAAGAGCAGCCAGTGCTCTTAACCGCTGAGCCATGTCTCCAAACCCTTAAAAAGAACCTTTTCTGCCGGGCGTGGTGGCGCACGCCTACAGTCCCAGCACTTAGGAGGCAGAGGCAGGTGGATCTCTGTGAGTTCAAGGCCAGCCTGGTCTACATAGTGAGTTCCAAGCCATCTGGAGCAACAGGGAGACCCTGTCTCAAAACACAAACAAGAAGAGGCTACGACTCAGTGATAGAATGCTTGCCTTGAATGCAGGAACCACTCCTAGCACTGTCATATATAAACGGAAGACAGGCAAAGAGCCAAGATTCCCAGGTTTTTACCTCATTCCTCAGGACAGTAAGTTTTAGTTCTCAATCAAGTACTAGGAATCTGGAACCCAGGATTCCAGACTCTGCGATGTGATACCAAAACCTGTGATACCAAAACCCAGGCTTAGCAGTCGTGTTGAGAGCAGATAGTACCCAACCCCCACATACTCACAAGTGTTGCTAATGTGGTGACCCATAGAGGGCTTTTGCTCTCTAGTCCCTTTCATCAGCAGCACTCTGCTATGAAGAGGATTGGCGTGTTAAGGTTGTTGACCTAAAAGGCAACAACAGAAGCCTTCCACTTCTGAATTCACAGAGAGCTAGAAATGGGTTACTCACCACTCTGGAATCATTAACCCAACAGCTGGCTTTGTTTACTCTGGTATTGTCTGCCCTGGGGCCTGACAGGTGGTACTGACAGTTCCTAGGTAGGTGAGATGGTTTATGTAGCTTGCCTTTACCGGATATTTCTGAAATGAGCAAGTCTCATAACAGAATATAACCTACCCTGTCCCACAACCCCCAGCTTTGTGGACAGCCGTAGAGATACATGCTGCCTGGATTAAACTCAGAAAATAGACTTTGTGGCTGGCAGCCAGATCTAAGCCTAGAGTCACAGGGAGCTGGAAGATCCAGTTAAAAGAAATGAAAGCGATTTTGTTAGGATGACAGGGAAAGGTAAAGCTGGTCCACTGCTAAGGTCTGTCACTATTCTCCTTACAGTGTTCTTGTTAATACCAAAGTTTTGTTGTGTCTTTCTTTTCTTTTTTTTGTTTTGTTTGGGATAGGATCTCACTATGTAGCCCTGGGTGGCTTGGATTGTTCAGCATCAAAAATTCTTTTTGTTTTGTTTTGTTTTTTGAGACAAGCTAGCCTAGATAGAATTCACTGCATAGATCAGGCTACCTTGTTCTCACAGAGATCCGCCTGCCTCTGCCTCCTAAGTGTGCGCCATCATGCCCTACCAAAAGTTCTTTTTTTTTTTTTTTTTTCCGGTCCTTTTGAGACAGGGTCTTCCTGTAGCCCCAGCTATCCTGGAACTCACTATGTAGACCAGGCTGGGCTTGAACTCACAGAGATCCACCTGCCTCTGCCTCCCGAGGGCTGGGATTAAAGGCATGCACCACCATACCTGGTTTTTTTTTTTCATATTTTATTTATTTTATGTGTATGAGTGTATTGCCTGCATGTGAGTGAACCTGTGTCATGCAGTGCTGCAGAGGTTAGAAGAGGGCTTTGGATTCCCCTGCAACTGGAGTTAAGGACGGTTCATAGCTGCCATGTGGGTGCTGGGAATCGAACCCGGGTTCTCTGCAAGAGCAGTCAGTGCTCTTAACCACTGAGCCATCTTTCCAAACCAAAGGTTCTTTTTGAAGAAGGAATTGCTTCAAATGTACATGTGTCTGTCTGTGGGAGTGTATGCTATATATGTGCATGTGCATATAGTAGCCAGAAGAGGGTGTGAGATCACTTGGAGCTGGAGTTACAGGCAGTTGTGAGTTTCCTACCCAATGTGGGTGCTAGGAACTGAACTCTGGTCCTCTGGAAGAACAGCAAGCTCTCTTAACCATTGAGCCATCTCTCCAGTTCCACAATACACCAATACATTTTTTAAATGTGTATGAGTGTTTTGCCTGCATGTGTGTAAGTGCACCATGTACATGCAATGCCTACAGAAACCAGAAGAGGGTGTTGGATCCCCAGAACTGCTGAATCATCTTTCCAGTGCCACAATACACCAATTCTATAAAGCATGTGTTTAAAATCTCATACCTAACTGCCTGTATGTCCCCAATCTTTTAGCTACAGCCTGGACTCATTACTGTTACCCAAAGCTAGTTGCAGCAGCATGAAAGCTGGGTGAGCTCCTGTACACCCCCATCCCAGGGCCACCAACAGAATGAAGGAGCAAAGTCCAGATCTCAAACAATCTCATCTCAAGGGGCAGAAAGCCACTCTAAACTTCAGGCACTGGGATTTATGGGTCATTTAGACAGTTCATAAAGGAGAAGGATGAAGCTAAGCTACAAAATCAACCAAGTAGACAACCCCAAAAGTAAAATGATCAGGGCATACAGCTTAACCCAGCACTCAGGAGGCAGAGGCAGGTGGATCACTGTGAGTTCAAGGCCAACCAGGGCTACATAGTGAGACTCTGTCTAAAAATAAATAAATTAACGAATCAGCCAATTAGAGACTTACCTTAATGAAACCGTAGCCTTTAGATGACCTTTATCTGAGTACTCGCCAGGACAATATTATCAATCTGTAGTAGGATAAGAAGGAATTAGCAATCATCTTTACCAGACTGTTTTAAATACCTCAACTTTCTAGCCAACAGTTACATCTCTACAAGCCTCCTTTTCTCCCACTTTCTAATGTAGTACTGGGGACTAAACTCGGGGCTTTGCACATATAAGGCAACTTTGCACATACATGATACCACTGAAGCAACATCCTCAGCCCTCCAAACCTTTTCTTCTTGTTGTTGAGACAGAATCTCCCTGTAGCTGCAGCTGGCCTGGAACTAACTGTGTAGACCAGGCTGGCCTGGAACTCACAGAGATCCACCTGCCTCTGCCTCCGGAGTGCTGGGATTAAAGGAGTGTGCCACCAGGCCTGGCTTCCAAACCTTTCTATAAAATTTATAAAATTTATTATTACTTAGTATATGTGGAAGGTGGTGCATGTATGCGTGCACAGGCCTGCAGAGACCAGCAGAGAGCATTAGAGCTCCTGATCTGAGCTGGAGTTACAGCAGGTTGTTAGCCAGGGTGAATTACGTTCCATTTTCCTTTCCACCTTACAATCTTGTATTAGTTTCTCAATCTGCTCACCTTCAAGGTCTGAGACATGATAGGCAATCCCAGAAACTATTGTCCAGTCAGCCAATGACCAGTGCATAGGCTTGATTTCACAGAGTTCTGTGTAAGCAATGCCTTTAAAACAACAGGACTTTTTACCTAAGATGACACACACATGAACTTATCCCAGGACACAGAAGGGGTTCTAAGTTGGCTGTAAAGGGAAATGAATAAAAGGCTACTCAGGAAAAGACTAAAGTGGAATGTTACTTTGCCAACAGCAGAAGAAAGGTCTCCAGGTTGACTATGTGCAGCTGATTGCATACAGAAAACTACCAGCATCACGGTCCTCAGGGCTCAGATTATGAACTGGCTCCCTAAGGAGTAAAATGTGCTGATACACCTCTCTTGGTAGTCCGCCAATATTTATTCACACTTCCTAATTCCTAAAAAAGAAACAGAAATAAAAACAAGTTCGGGGTGGTGACACATACTTGTAATTCCAGCAGTTGGGATGTGGAGGCAAGAGGATCAATTCAAGATCATCCTCATCTATATACCAAGTTCGAGTCCAGCCTGGGCTACAAGACCCTAGCTCAAAAACAAAACAAAAAAAACTGGGCTAGCGAGATGACTCAGCAGGGTCCAGTAACCTGAACTTGATTCTTAGTACCCACATAAAGGTGGAAGGAGAGAAATGACTCCACAAAGTTGTCCTCTGACTTCCTTGGGTAAGCCACACAGATGTGCATGCACACACATACCCTACATACACAATAAAAAAACAAAGAAAATCGGCCAGGTGTGGTGGTGCACGCCTTTAATTCCAGCACTTGGGAGGCAGAGGCAGGTAGATCTCTGTGAGTTCACAGCCAGCCTGGTCTACATAGTGAGTTCCAGGACAGCTGGAGCTACAGGAAGACCCTGCCTCAAAAAGACCAAAAAAAAAAAAAAACAAAACAAAACAAAACAAAGAAATTCCTTTAGAGAGAGACCACCAAGATGGCTCAGTGGGTCAGAGCACTTGCTGCCAAGCCTGACAACCTGAGTTCGATCCCTGGACCCCACATGGTAGAAGGAGAGAGCGATTCCTACACGTTGTTTTCTGACCTCCAGTGAGGCACCATGGCACCTATGAGCCAAGCCCAGTATGGCAGTAGCCCACGGTGACCACACAGAACCAACTCACACTCAGCCCCAAATGACGCCATCTGACGTGGCCATTTCCCACCCCCAAAGCAAAGCAAAAGCTGGTGTTTCCACATCAGGGGCCTCTTTTGCTGTTTTATTTAACTAACTCTATCAGTGCTAAGGTTGATCCACAAAACTACACCACAAAGTGAAAACGAGATGATTAAATCAAGTCACCATCATCCCATGACACAGTGAAGCCATTACTAAAAGCCAGCAGTCATAAAAGCAACCACCCCCTGGGCTGGCTCTTTCTCCAAGGACCCAGCTGTTTCCCTTAGTTTCTTCACCCACATTTGCTTGACCCAAAAGTACCACGTGACCATTGCTGGAAGCCCTCCTAGGGCTGTCCTTTCTTTTTTAAATATTTTATTTATTTATTATCTTTATTTTATGCATATTCGTGCATTGCCTGCATGTAGGTAAGTGCACCCGTGTGCAGATAGTTGTCTGCTGTCATGTGGGTTCTGGAATTCGAACCCAGGTCTTTTGCAAGAACAACCAGTGTTCTTAACCTCTGAGCCATCTGTCCAGCCCCTAGGGCTGGCCTTTCTAACCTCTTGCCTCTAGTGTTCCTCCTGCAAAGACTCCTAGGAAATTTTCACAAGGTACAATATGCCAGACACATATTCCACTAGGCAGAGAATAAAGGTAAGCAAGGAAAAAAAAAAAATCAAAGCTCTGGATGATCTAAGGCAGTTTTGAGCAGATGGATCTCCTAATGAAGGGACTAACAGAGAAGCAGGAAAACTACCCAACAGGAAGTGATCAGAAGGGTAGACTTGGATGTTAAATGTCAACTAACATCTGTTCCATTGATTTTCCTTCCAGGAGAGGGCAAAATTGGCATTAGGACTGAGGTAAAGTGATTTTCTCTGGTCACCAAATTACCAGCAAAGCACAGGTTACCACCACCACGCTATGTGCCCAGCCTGGTTTGGGGACCCTTTCTCAAAGTATGGTCCTTGAGTGTGGGTTCCTGGCAAAGTTTACCAAGACTATGCCTTCTGTAAAACAGTCACTGAACATGGTAAGTAAGCAGGGGAAAGAGATTCAGAAAATGTTCAGTGAGGTGGGAACACTGGGAGTGTCTAGCACGGTGTCTCAGCCACTATACTCAGTTTATCTGATTGACCATCACATCAGATCTGAGGAGCTATCAGCGTGGAAGAAGCTGCTTTGTGTTCCTCTTTCCCTTTAGAGCACCGCATTCCCTTAACTCTCCGTGAAGCAGACTTAGGAGAGTTCTGTTTCCTGAACTCCTAAGGGATCTTACCAGTTGATATCTACGTCAGGGTTGTTGTTGTTTTGGGTTGTTTTGTTTTGTTTTACATTTTCTAGATCTGAATTAGTTGTTTTGTGACCTAGAAGGAAATTGAATAGCGACAAAATTCAGTACAGACATTTTCTCTTACCCTGTGAAGAGAAAATGTTGTACTTGAAATTACTGTTTACTATTTTGTTTGGTTGGTTGGTTTTGATTTGGGTTTTTTTGAACCAGGGTCTCCCTGTAGCCCCAGATGACCTAGAACTCACTATGTAGACCAGGCTGGCCTTGAACTCAGAGCTCTTCGGCTGCCTCTTAAGCGCTGGAATTAAAAAAGTGTGCCACCATGCCCAGCTACTACTTACTTTTTAAGGGCTACTCAACCTATGTTTTACTGTTTGAAAGTCTATATAGGGGCTGGAGAGATGGCTCAGTGTTAAGAGCACTAGCTGCGTTACAGAGGTCCTAGGTTTCTTTCCCAGCCACCAACATGCTGTTTAACAGCTATTTGTAACCCTAGTTCCAGGGGCTCTGACACCCTCTTCTGGGCTCCATGGGCATTACATGACATGGGTGCTCTTATGTACATGCAGGCAAGGCATTCATACACCTAAAATAAAAATAATTTTAATTTACAAAAAATAAAAATCTAAATAGAGACGGAAGAGATGGATTAGTGTTAAGAGCACTGGTTGCTCTTGCAGAGGACCTGGGTTTGGTTCCCAGCACTCACATGGCAGCTAACAACTATCTGTAACTCGAGTTCCAGGGGATCTGACACCCTCTTCTGGCCTCCACAGACATGACTGTGCTTATATACAACACGAGTGTGCTTCTATACATTCAGGCAAGGCATTCATACATATAAAATAAAAATAAGTGGGACCTGGAGAGATGACTCAGTGGTTAAGAACACTGGCTGTACTTGCAGAAGAACCAGATTTGAATCCCAGGACCACATGGCAGCTAACAACTGTCAGTAACTCCAGTTCCAGGTGATCCGACTCTGTCTTCTGACCTCCTCAAGCACTGCATGACATGGGTGCACCTACATACAAGCAGGCAATACATACATACACATAAAAGTAAAATATTTAAAAAATAAAATATAAATAATTTTAAAAAGTTTTAAAGAAGCCTAAATAGAGGCTAGAGAGATAGCTCAGCTGTTAAAAGCACTGGCTGCTCTTGCAGAGGACCGAGGTTTGGTTCCCAGCAACCCATATCCTCACAACTGCTTGTAACTTTAGCTCCCGGGAATTAGATACCCTCTTCTGGCCTCTGTGGGCACCCACATATAGCTGGCATACAGTCAGAGATACATATACACAAACAAAAAGTAAATAATAAATATTTTATAAAGGAAAAAAAGTCCAGCTGGTATGCTGGCACATACCTTTAATCCCAGCACTTGGGAGGCAGAGGCAGGTAGAGCCCTGTGAGATTGAGATCAGCCTGGCCTACATACAGATAGCCAGCTGGGGCTACAAGGAAACCCTGTCTCAAAAACAAAAATAAATAAGTAAAAAGAACAAAAGTCTAAATAAATAACTGGTTTAAACTTAAATCATACAAATAGGCACATGCCGGGTGCCAGCAAGATGGTTGGTCAGGTAAAGGCACTTGCTACCAAGCCTGACAACCTGAACTCGGTCTCTAGGATCCACATGGTAGAGGGAGAGAACAGACTCCCACCATGCCTACATCATGCCTACATACATACACACACAAATAAATAAAATAAATGTGAAAAATTGAGGGCTGGACAGATGGCTCAGCAGTTAAGGAGCACTGGCTGCTCTTGAAGAGGACCCAAGTTCAGTTCCCAGCACCCATGTGGGGGCTAACACCTGTCCTTAACTCCAGTTCCAGGGATCTGACTCCTTCTGGCTTCCATAGGTATTACATGTACACGGTGTACTTACATGCAGATAAAACACTCCACGTAAAATAATTTAAAAAATTAAAATGTATATGAAAATTTAAAAAAGAAGTAGGCATGTTTCTAACAAAAAAGGAAAAGATGTGGGGCTAGAGAGAGGCTCAGCAGTTAAGAGCACTGGCTGTTTTTGCAGAAGACCCAGGTTCAAATCTCAGCACCCACACGGCGGCTAACAAAGTCTATAAATCTAGTTTCAGGGGACCTGATGCCTCCCTCTGACCTCCGCAGGCTTTGCACAACACGGGTGCACTTACATACATTCAGGCAATCCACTCATGCACATAAAATAAAAATAAATTTTCAGAAAAGGAAAAGACACAGACTAAAACCTAGAAGACAGAATGATACAAATCTGCCTTAAGCTCTTCTTCACATACCAGAAACACCAATAATTAAGATCTTATTGTTATTTTCTATGCAATAAAACCAGAGTTTAGGCAACCCAGAAATATTATGATTAAGGCAAGCTTAGCCAGTCCCACTGCATGTCTGGCAAGCACTCCATTTGCTGGTCGTGGTGACGCATGCCTTTAATCCCAGCACTTGGGAGACAGGAGGCAGAAGCAGGCTGATCTCTGTAAATTCAAGCCCAGCCTGATCTACATAGGGAGTTCCAGGCTGGCTGGGGCTACAGGGAGACCCTGTCTCAAGAAAACAGCAACAACAACAAAAATCCCTAAATTCACCCAAGCTTTCTCATCTAGCATCTCTTCCTTAGGCTGCCTGTCACAGATCTATCAAATTAAGAAAAACAAAAGATGATAAACAAAATAATATAAAGTCTGGAATTATCAATACACACAGCATAGTTGAATCTCAAAATATTCTGCGAAAAAGAAACCTGATTATAAAAAGGGGGTCTATATTAAATGATCCATTAATTTAGAATTCTAGAAAATAATCACAGAAAGAAGATTGGTAATTGCTGAGGTATAGGAGCAAGTAGGGAAAGTTGGGAGGAAAGGCTGCTAAAA